AAAAATCTGGATTATGTAAGGGGTTAACTTGTCGACGAATATTTTTCGAAACAATATACTCTTCTCTTATAATTTTATTTTATTTTCGTGTTCTAACAAAAGAAAGTGGCTTTACGTTAAATTTGCAACAAAATAAAAGAAGAAGAAAAACAAATAAGGAAAATCATTCTCGTTGCTTATCGAACGTGAAACAAAAAAAAATAGAATACATTTCTGCACGTTTTTTATTCGACAATCTGACAGACAATATACTCATTTTCTAATAGTTATTTAAAAACGTTTGCATATATATATTTTTCAATTATGTTGGAATGATAAAGAGAAAAAGAAGAAAAAGAGAGGAAAATGCGATAGACAGAGAAAATAAAAAAAGAAAAAAAAATGAAAAGAAAACTAAAGAGATATAAAAATTAAAACGGAGAGAAAAAAAAAGAAAAGAAGTAGATGCACTAACGTTCGGATAACGAGAGATCCAAATTCATTGAAAATTTTTACTGAAATTTGTCTTTTTTTCGGCGTTTAATTTTATTCCGTGTTTGTTTCTTGTCTTTTATTTTATTATTCCGTTATTATTTATAATCCAAAGTTAATGCACGTTATCATCGTATATTTATAATTCGGCGAACGAATTTGGCCGTGATTATTAATCTCACTCCACATTCTCATTCTCTTTCTTTCTCTCTCGTTCAATTCTTTCATACTTTCATACTTTCGACAAAAGAAAAAAAAACACTATCTCGATTATAGTTTAACACACGATAATACAATTTTTCAATGTGGCCCACCACTTTGTATCGTCATTTTTCATCCCTTCGTTTCGAATTATTTTTTCTTCTTCTTTCTCATCTCTTTTTTTATTTATATTTTATTTTATTTAACCTATATCTTTATACCTATCTTCGATTTTTTGTTTTATATATATATATATATATATATATTTTTTTTTTTCTTGTTTATTTCGGAAAACTTTGACGTTTACGTTCCCTCCTCCTCCTATATCTTGTTTTCTTCTTTTTTTCATCTTCCTTATCTTCAGTTTCTTGTATTTTTACTCATATCGTTTTTTTTTTTTTTATTTCGAAGCACAAACAACAAAACATTATTTGTTCCCTTTTTGTACAAGACGACGCTCGTTAAGATTAATAACACGACGTATACACGTTTTAAGTACTGCAAACGATTTTCTATTTCTCTCTCTCTTTCTCTATCTTTTTCTCTCCCATCGGGTACTGTTTCTAAATTTCTTTTTTTTTATTTTACAAAAAAAAAACAATCATCTATCCAACTCCACCTTTTTTAATTTTCTCTTCATTCATTTATTTATTTATTTTTCTCCATCATATACATTTTCCATCTTTCTCTCTGTCTCTCTCACTGGAGAGAATCTTTGATTTTTATTCAATGGAATAGAATAAGTATATAAAAAATAAAGGAAAAATTATGATACGCTGTAAATAAAATTTCCTATTGAATGAAACAAATTTTGTCTTCATTTTCAATAATGGAAATGATCGAAATGCGTGTCATTGAAAAATCTACACACAGTTTGGTGCACATCATCATCATCATCATCATCATCGTTCTTATTATTAAAATTCTTTATTATTATTTTTTTTTTGTTTTTACAAAGAAAGAGAATTGAACGAAAGATAAATTGAATGGGAAAATGAAAATAAAATGAATTAATATTTAAAAAATGGATTATGATGCAGGGTTCAAAAGGGCGGGGGGGGGATGTTGCGTGAAAATTATTCGAACGATGACAAGGAAAAAAAAAAAAAAGGAAAAAGAAAGATAAGGATATCGTTCTTCTAAAATTGCATTATAATTACAAACGAATAAAATGAGATCACGAGGATAAATTCGAGCGAACGCGTGGTGTACGGTTTCGTGTTTCCTTATACGTGTGTATGTGTGGGTATGGTGAATATTGTGTTTCTTCCTGTATAAGAAGAAAAAAAATAATTTCAATGGAAAATATATATCGAAAAATAACATATTACAAAAATTTTCCTTTATCAACTCTTGTCTCGAATAATTTCAAACGATATATTACAACTATCTATTAATTATTTCACTTATTAATTAATTAACTCTTCTCGTACACTTGTATATACGTTAGATGAAATCCAAATAATTATTTAAATTAATCAAATCAACAAATTTAGTTGGACGTTTGTTTTGCAGTATCATTGAGAAAAAAAAAAGCAAAAAAGAAAATAATTTCGGTCGCTTTAAAAATTTAATATATTGCATTCGAATAATCGTATAAAAAAAATGATTCTAAATACAAAAATGTAAATAGAAATGTAAATAGAATTTTAATTGCATAATTATTTGGAATAATAATCTATAGGGAAAATATTTGTTGTACAATTTTTTCGATAGAATCCATTTGACCAATCTAAAAATTGCATCAAAAAATTAATATCATTATTTTCAAATAATAATAAAAAAAGAAACAAAGATATAAAAAAAAAAAAAGAACAATCTTTATTCTAATCATTTACTGTACACTTAAATAACATTTAATTATTATATATGAGTGTGTGGGGAAGGGGTGGGAAGAGGAGAAGGAGAAGGATGAGGATGAGGGGGTGTCTTCTTTCAACTTTTCGATCAATAAAGGCTAAACGAACAAATTCGCGTATATCGTACACTTCTGTGTGTGTATGTATGTGTCTCTCTCTCTCTCTCTCTCTCTCTCTCTCTCTCTCTCTGTGTGTGTGTGTGTGTGTTATTTTATCCTAAAAACAGGTATAATTATTTTTTTTTATTATAATAATTTTCTTATCCAATTTTTTTGTTTCTTTTTTTCGTTTTGTTTCATTTGCGTTCGCTCACAGTTGGTAGAAAAATATAAACATCAGCAAGAGGCGTTCTTTCTTTTCTATTATTTTTAAGTAAAAAACAAAATCGACGACTATAAAATGCGACGACAAAAAATTGAAAAACGAAGAGACCGACTAATGTGCGAATAATGCACAAATGCACATGCACATTTTCTCTCTCACTCACGCATATATCGAATGAAATGCACTGATACGCACGCACGCACGAAAAGATATTGCATACCTAATTTTCATTTTCTTAATAATTTTTATATTTCATCATAATCATCGTTATGATCATTAATCATCATCATCATCATCATCATCTTCGCAATTTTTTATTTTTTTTTAATATTCTTCTTTCCCATTGTTTTATCATCGTTTGTTTTTTGTTTTTATTTTGTTTTGTTTTAATACCCCGTTCCATTATTATAATACACTTTTAAAGCGCGTGTTTTTTCTATTCTTTTTATAATTAATTAATTAATCATTTATATTTTTTTATATATTTATATATATATTTATATTTATTTATTTATAAATTGTATTTAAATTTATTTGCTCATATATTCATCCCCCGTAATTTTAAATTGTCTCGGATTGAAATCATCAAAATCAGTCGAATCATTTTGTACGATTTCTCCCAATTTATGATAAAAACAATACAAATTTATTGTGACAGTAAAAGGATCCTTCGAGGGTATGTGTGTGTGTATGTGTGTTTGTGTGCGTGCGCGCGTGTATATTTTTTTAATGATCGTTGGATCACATTTTTCGAGATATACGCGTTAGACGAAAGAACACATCGAGTTTTTTTATTTATTTATTTATTTTTATATATATATATATATATATGTATAAAGTAACTATTGCCTAAAGAATACTAATCACGTCACATCGATAAATATAACCCTTTTTTTTTTTGTTTTTTGAACGTACAGCAGACAGAGAGGATCACAATCGGTTCGTTCACAATATATAAAAGTATAAAATACTTGCCAAATTTGCGAATTGGCTATTCGTCGGTAGTCGACGTCACCATATTTTATTATACACATTTGTTCATTCATTTGTTCATTTATTTATAATATTCCTTCCTTAATCATTTTCGTGCTTATAAAGAATGGAGAGATAGTTTCTTTTTTTTTTCAATCAACATAAATGCACGAACGCGTTTCGTAGGGAAGAAAAAAAATATAAAAAACACACACACACACTCCCAATACTGCAGCAATAATAATAATAATAATAATAATTATATTAGTAATAATAATAGTAATAATAATAATAATAATAATAATAATAATAATAATAATAATAATAATAATAAACAATAAAACAAAATAATAATAAAAACAAATTGTAGACCAAAAAAAAAGAGAAAGAAATTGTAATCCAAAGTCCCCGATGCAAAATAAGAAGAAGAAGAAGAAGAAGAAAAAATATAAAGAATATTTGCAAGTTTGAAAAATAATAGAGCAAATGCAACAAAGACAAAATTATCGATTTTTGAACCTAATCGAAAATATACCGGGGACTTGGGAAAACGTTATTACTAACATGAATTCCTATGAAGAAATGGCACGTAAAATTGTCAGAAAGAGAGAGAGAGAGAGAGAGAGAGAGAGAGAGAGAGAGAGAGAGATTACTTTTTTTTGCTTTTTGTTTTCATTTGCAATTTTTATATTTAAACTTAAAGACAGGCCGATAGAAAGAGAGAGAGAGAGATAAAGAGAAATTGCAAGATCATTTGATGAGAGCTCACTATTTCCCATTAAACGTGACCTCGACTACCGACGATATTGAGAAATGCAATAAACGCAAGAGATCCTTCCGTTCCTACCTATCATCGTGTTTTTGTCTCTTTTATTTATATTAATTAAATTAATTAATTAATTAATTGCCCGAGAGAGACTCTCGCAAATACTTTTTTTGTCCTTTGAATATTTTTCTTTATTATTTCTTCTTCTTCTTCTTCTTCTTGGTTTTTGTTTGTTTGTTTAAGTATGGCCTCTTTGTGACATCATCATCGTCAGCCTTCGCACACACGCTACTTAAATATAATACACTAATAAACGTTCGGCCGTCCTTGATAAAAAAAAAATCCAAAGGTTGGATTTTCTTAATCGGACGGATTTTCGTTTAAAGGGACGACGAGGAGGATCGGCCTCACAATTGTTCCGACAAAATGATCACCGTTAACGTTTGAACGTTATCATTGTGATAAAGTTTATTGTTGGTAGTATTGTTGAAGGAAACCCTACCTTCTTCTAGATTCTCATTGGTCGTATTTTCGCAACCCTCTGCTTCGGCCCTTTCACCTCTCGGTATTAAATCGTTATCATCGTTTTCATCATTTTTTTCATCGTCATTAACATTGACATCTATTTTTTTAGACGAGGATAATAATAATAATTCCGAATTAATTTCTTTCCTATCGTCATTATTCATATCTTTATCACGATTAATAATATCCATTTGTACGATCTCATCGTTGTTATCAATTTCGTTTCTCGAATTCGAAATAAAATTAGGTGAATCCTTGTAAGAGTATCTACATTCTCTCGATAGGCCAATCGATGATTCGATAGGATTAAACGTTTCGGTAGACGAAGAAAATCGTATTGATCTTTCATTTGGTAAACCAGAATCCCCATCAGCACGACGCGTTATGTTAGCAGTTGGCGACATTCTTGAGGTGTTGGTGGTGGTGGTGATGGTGTTGGTGTTGGTGCTGGTGCTCGTTGTACCTGGACTAGGACTTTTTATTGGACGTAAGAGGGACGGTGAAGGGTTTGAGAATCTCGTTGAAGAATCATAATTAATCGTTGGTGAACGTACGAGAGCAATTACGTCCGGTTGTTTGATCATCGTCACTTCCTGTACATTGTATGGAGTTCGTAAAAGTTCATCCGAACTACGACGATTATTTTCTGGTAATTCTGGAAGAGCTTCTAATAAACCAGAACGATCGACCCGACGTGGTAAAGTACCAGCATGACCAGCTATACTACTTTCGGCACCAATCGGTCTGCAGTGTCGAAAACGAGACGAGGATGATGATGACGAAGATGATGATGATGATGATGATGATGGATGATGATCTATATTAGATATTTCTAACAATCCTGATCTGTCAACACGTCTCATAGTATTCCCATCGTTGAAATCTTCGATTGTACAACTCAATGGACGAGGACTTCTCTGGGTTAGATAATAATCTTGTTCGGGTATGGTTACTGATTGGTTACCATAAATTATTGGTGTGCAACGTGACGAACGATGATAAACGTGTACTGCATTCGTTCCAGTTGTCGTTGTCGTTGTCGTCGTCGTCGTCGTCGTCGTCGTCGTCGTCGTTATTATTGCATCCAAAGATGTTGGTGTTGCTGGTGCTATCGTTACTGTCGACGTTGTTGTTGTTGCTGTTGTCGTCGTTGTCATCGTTGTTGTTATTGTTCCTGTTTCGGACATTGCCGAGACCGCTGCAGCAGCTGCTGCAGCTGCAGCCACAGTCACGTGGCCAGTTGCAGCACTAGGTGTCACCGATTGACTTTCCGAAGGATTTTCGATGACTATTTCCATACGATGGCGATGTTGTTGATGTTGTCTGTATTGCGGCAACGGTTGCCGATGGGGGGCCTGCTGCTATAGCCAAGTAGTACGCGTGCTTCCGGCTCGCGAGCCGGTAGGCAGGTCTCAGACGATTATTTCTCGGATAATTCTACGTCCACGGCTGTTGGGAGTTGAATAACCGGATTCTAAACTTTCGTCGTAGGAGAGGCTAACTTGTTGCGGTGGTTTAGTATCCTCGTCGTAATTTTCTTGATAAGGTAATCCGGACACGTCGTATGGTGAATCTGAAAAAATTATGAAGAAGAAAAAAAAAAATAAGATCGATTAAACTTTTGTTAGTTCCTTTACTTTGAAGAAGTAGAGAGATAATTGTTGTTGTTGTTAGATTGTAATTATACGGAAAAGAGGAAATAGTTCGTAGTCAAATAGTAAAGAGGAATTTTGCCCAGTTAGAAACAAACTATAGAGTACCAACCAACGTGTTTCTGGGACTTGACAACCGTAGCAAATGGCTCGGGGCAGAATTGTTGCCGACTAAGATTATGGCTTTCCCTGTAATGTGGGTGCGCCGGATAATCGGACTCGGTGGTGGCGTATCCACCCAAATCATATGGTTGGTTGACGCCGTTTGCTGCCGCCGACTTCATCTGCCAGATAGAATCTTGAGAATTCACCGAACCCCCGTTGTTTGAATTTGAATAGCTATTGTCCATGTAACCCATATTGACACCTGGAATACGGAATTACGCTTTATTAGAAATTTCTCATTTCACGAAAATGAATTCGTTTAGGGTAGTAAAGAGAGAGAGAGAGAGAGAGAGAGAGAGAGAGAGAGAGAGAGAGAGAGAGAGAGAGAGAGAGAGAGAGAATTATTGTTCCATTATAATACGTGTACGTGTTAGTTCAAACAAATAAAAACTTAAAATTAAAGTTAGACATATTTCAACATTTACCATTCTCACCGTTGATGTTATGATTAGGTTGATGATAACCATATCCAGGTTGAGCATAAGCAGGACTCTTGGAATCCTCCATGGCAAGTGCATGATCCAAACTATGTTCGAGTGCTTTATTTTCTGCATAATATGGCGGCGGTGCTTGAGTTTGTTGACCATTTCCAGCGACTAAGCTTGGTCGAACACTGGAGAAAAATGAACGGACATTTTTCAATACTCCGTCATGGCTAATTAAAAAATTTAATTCGTTCAAAACTATCGTAATAGCTAAAGTCCTAAATGAGTGTGTAATATTATTCAAATATTATATATGGGATATATATATATATATATGTAGTGTCTAATGCAAATTTAAGATGAAAATATAATACGCGATAATACAATACTTACGCATTGGTATCCATTTCATAATCCTTGGCCTTGGCAGCATGCTTTCGTCTGCATCGGCAGAACAAAAGTAAAAGAGCGGCGAAAAGTAAGAAGACTGCACCGCTAACAACCAGAGCGATCAACGTTGGTGTTGCTAATGCACCAGCTTGCGCTATATAAGACGGGCCAACTGTTTAACAAGAAGATATGCAAAATTAAATATTAATAAAAGCGTATCACTAAATCATCTCGTATCGTACGAGATTTAAATAACTTCAATTAAATCAACAGGATCAAAAGAACAAATTCTAGATAGAGAAAGAATTTTTGAGGTTATACTTTTTTTGGCGCGTTTTGGAAAGTGAAGTTAGATGCAACCGAAAAATCGACACCACGAAGTTGTTCGATATTTACGATGCGCGGGCAAATTGAAGTTATTTTTGAGGTTATATTCGTTTTGGTACGCACGAATAACTTCTTACGTGCGTACATAAGTACACAGATCAGTTTTTTTTAAAAGACAAACACACTCACTTTCAGCTTCGGTGTATTCCCCACATTTTTGACGATCAGCCTTGAGACATAATCTGACTTTAATATGCGGTTCCGAGTCAGAAGATTCAGGATCATCTAAAATATCCTCTCTTTGGGTTGGTGCACTTCCCAATACTTCCAATGGCCATTCTTCTATGATTCTCGACGGATTATTATCCGTCCCATCGAATTTTTCAATAGAAGCTACCAATGCCAGGCAAGTAGCGCCAACGTTTATTGCTAATGTCCCAGTTTCAGGATCATAGCTGACACGTAATGGCGCTGGTATTCTTGCTACCGAGGTAGTTGCAATTACCTCGTCGGAATAATCCGAATGATTTTTCGTATTGTATACCTTAACTTTGAAAGTATAGGTCTGGTGTTGCTCGAGATTGCTAACGTTGCAAGGATTCGATCTCCTGCAATCCATTTCCAACCATTGTCCGGCCGGTCCTCTCGGTGGTGCGCAATCAGGTGCTATCACTTCATCACCTCCAGCAACTCTTCGATAAGAAACGAAGTATTTCGTGATTGGTAGACCACCGTCGAAACCCAATTCCCAAAGTAATGCCACATGTGTCGGTCCAATGTCCATGGCTGTTATGTTGGTCGGCCTTTCCGGTGCACCTTTCGGTTGTAATCTTATTGTCGAAGAAATGCTACCTTGTGCGTTAGCAGCGCGACACGTGTAATCACCATAATCGGATTGTTTTATATTCGTTACTTTTAACAGGGAAGTATAGACATCGTAATTATCAGTGGTTGCTGATATTTCGTAATGACCGTCGCTCGATGAACCTTGCAGCGTTGCAGCATTGTTACCAAAACTCCATTGGAATTCTGGTTTAGGCCAGGCTTGTACTTTACACGCGACTTCTGCTACCTCTCGTAAATTGTACGCCACTTTGCCGTGCTGATGTAAAATAATTGGCTCGTGTTCGACCTTTAACATCATCGTTGATTCTACCTTTTTAACTTCGTTCACGAATACACAGGTATACCTTCCTCTGTCGCTCGCTATGATCTCATCGGTCTTCGGACGTGCATGACCCAAAAAGCTCAACGTCGAGTTCACGGTTATCACGTTACCATGACCTTCTGAAGCAGTGGTTATCACTTTGTACAATCTCTCGTCAGCTGTTAATTCTTGATCGTCCTTCAACCAACGCACGCTAGGCCTTGGCTTTCCCTGTGCCACGCACGACACTTGAAACGATGATTCTCCGACTCTGCGAATTCGTTCAAACAATGGGAAGATTATTAAAAATAAACATTCGTATGACGGTAAGAGAGAAAATCGATCGTGTAAAAATGTTTGCGGTTTTTTCAGATCATTTCCATATGAAATACTTTCAAAGCAAGTCTAAGAACTTTTATTTCTTTGCTTCGAAAATAAATTATCTATAATTGGTAACAATTGATCTCTTTGAAGATTGGAAATCATTAAAATGAGATCGAAGAAATTCGTGGGAGAAGAAGAATAATTTCAATAAATAAATAAATAATAATAACAACAGAATATACGTACTTTCTCGTGACATGAGGTTGCAATTTGGTGAGTATCTTCGGTGGTTGATGAACCGTGAGATTGACAGATGCAGCTTCCCCATTTCCAATCTCGTTCATGGCGTAACATTTGTAAGTACCTTCGCTACCCAAATGTATCGAATCTATTTCGTATTTAGGCCCAGAATTTTCTGTTCTAACGGGAATATTTTCACCGTCTCCTTCCTTCCACCATTTGTATTGGGGTTCGGGATAACCGGCAGGACTTGCCATACACGTAAGAATAACCCGTGAACCTTCAACTGCAACCGGTGAATCTGGCGTAACTCTCGCGGGTCCAGGTTTGTGTCGAATTCTTACAGTGACATGAGCTTTTGCCGAATGATTTTTTCGTTCACCGCCAGTCGGATGAATGGTATTAACAGCACGACAAGTATAATTTCCAGCGTGATCGGCCGTGACTCTGGTCAATCTCAATATCGAACCGGATTGTCTGAATTCTGGACGACCTTCGCGAAGCCACTCGACAATGGACGGAGCTGGATTGGCTGATACGTTGCAATGTACCGTCACGGTGTCTTCCACCTGAGCGATTCTAACGCTCTCACCTTCGATAGACACGGTAGGTGGATAAAGAACATCTAATAGCAATGAATTTTCATCTTTCTTTCCTAAACCGTTGTCAGCTTGGCAAGTATACTTGCCTGCATCTTGTAACGTTACCTTTTGTATAACGTGTTGAAAAGTAGTTGCTATGAAACTACCATCCCGCCACCAACGTACCATACCGACAACTGGTTTAGAATCAACGTGACACTCCAATGTTGCGGTACCATTAACTTCAACTTTTAATGGATTACCAGGACCAACCGTAACACGTGGAAAATAATTAACATCCAATGTTACAGTTGCGTTCAATGTTTCACCTTCCCTCATCGCACGATTTCTTACAACGCATCGAAATATCGCACGATCGTCTTCTTTCGTTGGTTCAACCAATAAGGTCCTGCCGGAATGAAGTAAGGTAGTATTGTTACCACGGTACCATCTTACTTCTGGTTCGGGGCTACCACCGTTGGTATTGCATTGAAGTTCCAGTCGTTGTCCTTCAGTTGCCGGAGCTGATGTTGGTGATATCGTAGGTGGTCCAGGTGCTCTCAATACGGTCAAAGTGATATACTTCCTATGTATATCCATACCGGTGCTACTAACTTTAACACGACACTCGTATTTCCCATTGTCTCTTTCATATGAAACATTACGAATTTGTAAATCGTAACGACCTTCTTCCAAATGCATAAATACTTTGTAATTAGGTGACAATGAACGATTTTCTATTGCCGCGTTATCGTGATTGTTATTGGTATGGGTCAACCAAAAACACGTGACATTTTCTTTAGGTGGTTCGAATCGACATTGCAATTGTACCGTTGAACCCTCGTGAGTGTCCATTTGCGTTTCCTCAACTCTTCCATGGGTTAGAGCTGAAACAACGATTAATCGAATTAATTCAATGTTGTTCTTGTATAATAAATAAATAAATAAATAATAATAATAATAATCGTTTGTGTTAGAAAATCGATTGAATCAAAGCAAGCTAAGGGAATATGGTTCCAAGAGATCGGAAGGGACGATGATTTTATGGGATACGGGTTACCGACACCGAAGTAAATCAGGCCGTGTGCGTTCTCTGCATCGAAGGGAGTCATCGGCTCGCTAAACTCTGCGAAGTCGTGCGACGCAACCATACCCGCCGATCGATAAACACTCTCTCTTCTCTTCTCTTCTATTCTATTCTATTCTATTCTATTCTATTCTCTTCTCTTCTCTTCTTTTTTCTTCTCTTCTTTTCTCTTCTCTTTTTCTATTCCATAAAATAAAACTATATCTAATACTTTTGTCACGAGACGTTTTATCGATTTCCCTTTCGATCTCTATACACATATTCTTATATACATATAAGTAATACACTTTTCTGTATTTCTCTGTTTTATTTTATTTTCTTTTTGGATTTTAAAATTACGTTAATTGATTTTATTCCCGCGTTTTTTCTTAATAAATTGTTTATTTTCATTCTAAATCTCTCCACATCGTGTCGTATCTTTTCAAATATTCGATATCAATCTAATCAAACACCGTTAGAAACGTCAAACAAATTTTTAAATACAAAATTCGACATAAAATTGACAATTGTATCGAGTCAAATTAAATATTTCATGAATTCCCATTAAATCATAGATTAATATTCTAATTATTAATTTTTATTCTTAATGTATCAAAATTTGTATACGCTTGCAAATAACATTTAAATATGTTCATCGATGAAACAGAATATTTGATTTAAACATACGTTTGTACATGTAAATTACGATAGAAACTATCGAGGATCGAATAGGACGATTGAATGAATTGGTGAGACAGATTAGGAATGAAATGGATTGTTGGATTAAAACATTAGATGGGATTAGGATCTCGATAGCACTACGAGTACCGTTCGATAGTTCAGAACCACAAGACTTCTGGTGTATCTGCGAATGTGCTTCGTCATTGGGTCGCCTAACGGTAAAATCACCGGTTTGACTCTTTAACGATATCGGAGGAGACTTCTCCTCTTCCCCCCTCTCCTCTCCTCTCCTCTCCTCTCCTCTCCTCACATCTTTCTCTCGAACGTTCATTTTACAACCGAGCAACTGCGGTAGTCGGATTCTCTTTCTTCTTCTTTTCTTCCTCTTCCACTCTTCCACTCTCATTCTATCATTCTTTTTCTCATACACACACACATACACGCATACACATCTCTCATAGGTTTATGTACCCCACTATCATATTTTTTTGTTTTCTTTCTTTCCTTTTTTATTTCTCATCCTTTTTCCACCATATTTATCCGATCCATCGGTTTAACGCGATTTACCTCTACGCGAAGTAAAATTTTCATCCGTTTAATAGAAAAATATCATCGAAATAACATCGTCGAGTAAAGGAAAGAATGTTCTCGATGAAAATTCATCCGTACGAGGTTTATCTTTAGATTGATTGGAATATTGATCCATAGGTTGGTAATGTTATCACAGGTGGTTTCTTAAGTATTACGAGTAATGGGAAATCAAGATATATATGCGTCGTTTAGTTTTCAGTCTTTTGATAATAGAAATTATTTTACAATTAGATTAATGTTATTTCTTATTAAGATTTTGTTAAACGAATTTTTACGACTGTGTTATTTAATTAATGATCGAACGAATGTTATCTTGAAAGAATAATTATTTTTTTTCTCTGTAACTTTATACAAAAATGAATAAGATAAATACAACATTCATTTTGTATATTAAAAGATTTAAATGAATTCGTTCAATTTGTAAAATTTGTATAAAATAATAATTGATTTTTTGTTTTTTTTTTTGCATTGTATTTACCGATGCAATTTTTGTCTCGAGTTAACAAACACGTTTCCGATCATTTTATTTTTCAATAAACGATACTTTTTTCTCATCGAAGTGAAAAACTTTGTTCGTTTCTAGTTTCTAAGGTGTTGAAGAATACGACAACGTTCTAAGATAATATCTTATATATAAGAACTCAAAATTTCGTATTCCTAAGACGCCTATGCTTCTTAGTTCGTTTCGTTTGGAACGAGCTTGCAGTATTTACAGTGTCTGTGTACCACCAATCCTCACGAGGAGTATTTTGAATAATCCACATTGACTCTACTTCTTCAACTTTTTATTCATTTTTCTTCTTTACTTTTTCTTTTCATATATTTTTATACGAACATATATATCTATCTATCAAATTTGTTCAAAAACGCGTCGTCATTCATCAAAAATAAAAAAAGTTGTATCAAATTGTTGTTAGGAATGTAATTTTGTTCTTCTTCTTCTTCTTTTTCTTTATAATATATGACAAAGAAAAATTTAAATTACTTTACGAACGAATACACTGATTCCCCCCCCCCTTTTTTTGCATTCGTAAAGGAGAAAAGAAAAATATGTAAAAAGTAAAGAATAAAAAGAGGGTAAGGTAGAAAAAAAAGATTTTATAAATCGATAGGGAGTGTTGGGGGTTATAGTAAAACTATAGTGATGTTCTTCAAGATTAGATTCGTTCGTAGAGGAATAGAAAGCGCCTACGAAATGACGGAAGTCCGTCCTCGATTTTCCACGTTCCACGTGAATACAAAAAAAAGAAAAAAAGAAATAAGAGAAAGAGAGAGATAAAGATATATATCTTCGTCTGAAGGCTCTTTGCATTCATAGTAATGCCCAGGAATTACTAGCAATGACTGATTTTTGGCTTTGACAGTAACATATATAATGTATACATACATATGCAGATAAAAATTGGATGCGACTGCGTAGAACAAACACGTTGGTTGACATTCCTCAGCGCGGAGTAGAAAATGACATAAACAGTGGACCGAGTACAACAACGAAAAATGGTAAAAAGCTTTGCCCAATATACGTAAAGGGGAACCTTTTTTCGGTGATTCTCTCGAATGAAATTATTTCCAAAAAAAAGAAAAGAAAACAAATAAATTAATATAACAACAAAAAGAAGAAGTAAAAATTCCAAGTTTTTCCATTAAGTTCTTATCATTTTTATTTTAATTGGAAAAAAAACTTATGACCAAACTTATTAACAAATCTCTTTGTAGAGGGGGGGGGGTACCCATAAGTAATCAATTATTTTGAAATTTAAAACAAACTTTATTATATTAAATTTTCAATCACTTTCTTATAGAGAAATGCACAATTTGTGAACTAAAAAATATAAAATATATAACTTGATCTCTCGAGTGTGTGTGTGTGTTATTTAGAAGGATAGTTTTTAGTATAAATATTGTTGAATTTAATATGAATGGAATGTGAAAAAAAAAGAAAAAAAAATAATATGAAAAGAGTATCGTTGTATAAGTAATACGTTTTTTCCCAATGATTTCAACGAACGATCCAGTCGAAGTTTTCGAAGTAAGCATGAACGTGTAATGACGTAAGACTCGAAGAGTAAGAGGAGGAAATTGGTGGTGGTCGTGGAAGATCGGGGGGAGGGAAGGGGGGGTTTGGGGGAGTTGGATAAGGTAAGAGGTAAATAGAAGGAGAAGGAGATGGAGATAGAAAAAGAAGGGGTATAGAAAACGGATGGGGGGAAGAGAAAGAGAAAAAGAGAGAGAGAGAGAGAGAGAGAGAGTAATGGTGAGTAGTGGGATTAGTCAAGGTGAATAGAACCACGAAGGAAAGCTGCTTCGATGTTAAATCCTAGTATCGTTCACTAGAATGTTTCGTGATTTAAAAATCGAATTTAAAACCGTACACCATTTGAAAAATATCCCGTTCGTTTAAAAACAAGTAAAAGAAACAACTTAGAAACGAAAAAAGAAAAAAAGAAAAAACAAAAGAACGAGTAAAAGAGAAAAAAAATTAGATAAAGTAATACAATATAAACGAGAATCACGTTGACTAATAAATAAATAAAAATGACACAAATTTAGTATTATTAATTTCTTCTATATCACGATTAAATACTCGAAATGATCTATTTGCTGGATGATACAGTCGCAAATTACAATAACGATTGGATAAAGGGTAGTAACGAAATGGGGAAGGGTCGTGGACGTGGTGAAAAAAGGGAAGGAGGGTGTATGAGAGGGGGTGGGAGGGTGAGGGGGACGGAGAGGAGTATGAAGAGTGGACTAATCATTAAGGTGATTTATGATTTGAAAGTGTCATTTTTAACGAGTAACCTTTTCCCTGCAATTTCCACCTTCGCAACGTACAGTATATACCTAACTCGTCATTTGTTATAACTCTCTCGTGCATTCCGATTGGATTGCGTAAAACGAATTACGATGGACTTGTGTATGTATGAATGCTTGCATGCATCATGTATGTGTGTCTGTGTATACGCATTTATGTAAGTACAGATGTATGAGTGAGTATCTTCTCGTGTCAAATGCATGTGTATATATATATATATATATGTATATACATATATATGAGTGTGTGTATTCGTCATCACGAGAATCGAACGAAGAGTATAGGAGAGATGCTCGTTTCGATGCCTTTGCCGAGTCGTTAGGCGATTTCTCCCTCGAGGATTTGGATCCCTATGACAAATCGTTTCGGGATACGGATACGACGAGCTCTTCTCCTCGATGAATGGACCAACGTTCCAGTTTCGATGGTTTCAACAACCATTGGTTAATAACATCTACGTTGCTATTTCTTTCAATATTATTAATATCTTCTTATAACATAATTTCTTGTAAATAATATATTTTTTTCTCTTGTTGTTAATCTTTTTTATAATATTCAATTCTTATTTCATGATAATTTATTTAAAAATATTAGTTATGGATTTTTTTTTGTGATTAGTCATTCAATAATAATGTATTGGATATATATATATATATATATTTAAAGTTATTTTACATATTGTTCGTTTGTCAATAAAATAATAATAACTGATAGGGAGATGTAGTTGAAGTAATATGTTAGTTACAACAGTGTTATACATGGATGTAAAATTTTTGTTATAAAGAAAAAAGAAATGTTTGAAAAGTATAAACTTTGTGATATAAAAATGTTGTTTCTGGTATAACAAAACGTTGATGAAAGTTTAGGGTAGGAAAAGTTATATGCCGGATTCGGTTAGGTGGAAGTTTTTTTCCACGTTACTGAAAGTAGAAAAGCATCTTATCGAACTTTATTCCGTTTCGCATCATTAACGGGCACCCAGCGTTCTTTATAAAATACAAAAATACTAAAATAAGCGAAAAAAAAAGAGAGGAAAGGATACCTAGGAGAGGAAAAAAACGTGGCATAGGATCGATGATCTAAGGGGGATGTTCGTTCATTCGCACGTTCAGCCAGTTAGGAGAATACAAAACGCTTCGGGCAACTAGACACACGTTTTTCTTTACTTCACGTTCAAGACTGATAGCTTTCCCTTCTTACGTTTATACGTTTCTTCTACTTTAGTTTTCATTTTATTTTCAAAGCCAAGATCTAAGAAAAATCGTTTTTCTTATTTACAACGATTCTTATCCTTTAACTACATCCTTTTCTTTTCTTTTCTTTTTATCAATTAGGTATATTTTGATTAGAAAAATAATTATTATTACGTAAAATCGAATTGACACGTAAAAAAAAAGGAAAAGAAAATAGAGGAGAATAGGAAATGATTGGATCATATTTTCGTACGTATTTTCACGTATTACATTTGTTACATTTTAAAATATGAATTTTATTTATGTAAAAACGTATATCGTACGTCGATGATGTTTTCTCCCATTTTTCCCCCCATTTCTTTTTTATTTTTTTTACTTCATTTGTATATTATAATATGGTAAAAACTCTCGTATTTATATATATAATAAAAAATAAAAAAAAAAAATAAAAAAAAACTAGGAAACGAGATAAAGATTTGACCCTTATGCATAAATGCATCTTTTCTGGTATCGTATTTCACGTTCGCGACACGCCAACACACACACACACACACACACAACACACATACCCATGCACACGTAACATAATTTTGACTTTCCTTCGCAGAGACGAACCCCCCACGAGACTCGTTCGAACTTTGATTCGGAATATATGATTTAGCCCAGGATGCATGCGTCGCGTCCTACGGTAAAGTGACATAAACTTTGCTTTATGCATTCGCGAATACCATAAAACGATGCCTTGCATTTTGCTTTAACGCGTTTCTAACTTTTTCTTCTTCTTTTTTTTTTTATTTCTTCTTCTTCTTCCCCCGTATCCTCTTTCAATTACGTTATCGAACCCCTTTCAAAGTTTGGTTTTTATAATCTTAAATGAAATATTTTCATTTATAAGTTTTATCGATTTATTTCCTTCTCTTTTCCCCCACCCATCCTTTCTTTTTTTTCTCTCGAAGGTGCAGCAAAATTTGAATAATAAAATATTGCATTTGATGACGAGAATGATCAAGGATGATGTTGATGTGTGTGTGTGTGTGTGTATGATGGTATGGAATTTATTGGAAATAAGAGAGGAGTAACTATGTAGATTCGAAATATTTATGGATTTTGATGGCGACACAAGAAACGAAAGCTAAGTATAAAATGGTATAACATCGTAAATCGTACTTCCGTTTACTGGACTTCGGTCAGCACGAAACTCTGCCTTTGAGATTCGCGATAAGTCGAGTCGTTCAATCGCATAACTTACTCTTCTACCATACTCGTATTCCATGCCATCGTATTTACCGATAACAGAATCGCTTGAACGGACCACCGATCGTCTTTATCTCTTTCGACAAGAGGAAAGAATAAGAAGAAGAAGAAGAAAAAAAAGAAAAAAAAAAATCCTTTTCTTGCAACCATAGTCTCTAGTAAACTTTTCAAAGTAATCCTCACCCACCTTCAATACTTTCTTGAAAATATTATCAACTTATAAATTGTATCTTTATAAATCACATTTCTTTTCTCGTAGATAGGTATATCGAATTTTGTTCGTTTGCTTTTTTTTTATGTATTTTAATTATTATTAATTATTTTATATATTATAATCTTATCTCTGATTTATCTCAAGAATATCCTACAGTTAGTATTATTATTATTATTATTACTATATATGTATTCTGTACAAAAATATATAAATCAAGTTATTATGAAATTCAGTAATTATATCGTAGGTGATACATTAATATATATTTTGGAATGTATTATAATTATTGAGAAAAAAAATTATTACAAAAATGTGAATACACATGTTAAAATATTTATATCGAAATACTTTTGATATGGAACAGCAGAACAAAAAGAAAATAAATTCTTAGAATGAATAAGGTGTTACGCGAAATGTAAATAGATGCAACGAAATTTATGCTTATGCAATTATGTTTACACGATATATCATGTACAGGTTTAGGTGTTAATACCAAAGCAAGGATATCCTTGAGAATACTGTGTGCATCATCGAGTTTCATACGAACGATCGATCTCGTTTTATTCGCGTTTACTCCTTCGAAAGAGCTTTGCGAAAATCGAAACCATTGACATCGATCTTTCCTAAACTTTCGAGAAAACATCTTTAAAACTATGATATTAAGACAAAAATTTGCAATATGAAAAAGATTATATTATTATAAAGGTGATAACATTTAAATATGATTTTAATCGGAGAGACAGAATTAATGATTATAATATTATTATGATTATCATTATTTCTAATACCATTATCCTATTATAATAGTTCAGAAATGAATCGTTTAAGAGGTAGATATATGAGAGAAAATTAGTGTTTCGTGACGTACGCACGTATAGTTTAGAAACATTACCGTCTAAATTCCTAATGCTTCTATACGTTGTTCTAATCGCAGCTAACCGATAATACCATACTTATATATATGGGGAAAATCGAATAAATCATAATCCAAATTTATACCGTTTATGAGTACAGATATTTTCGATGCAATTTAACGCTTCGTTTATGTATAATCGAATTATCAATTATTTAACTAAATAAATCTTCATTATAATATATATCCACAATATAACTTAAACTTTTTAATTTAACGATTAAAACTTTTTCAACATTTTATTATTCAATATGTAATAATTAGAAAATTCGTTGGAAAATAATATAGTTGAGAAAATTATTATTAATAAAATAAAATAAGCAAACGAACGAACGAACAATTTTTATTTCCATAGTTTTTTTCAAATTTTTTTCTAATATCCAGAACGTTTTTGTTCTTTGAGAGTTGGAAAGATCAAAAAGGAAAAAATGAAAATAGGAATAAATTCGTTTGGCTTATCGCACATTCTCGATAAAATCCAATCCCTGGTTATAATTGACCTCGATCATTTGAACTCTTTTTCTTTCTCTCTCTCTCTCTCTCTGTCTCTCTCTCTCTCTCTGTCTCTCTCTCTCTCTCTCTCTATCATTCACTTTTTATTTGTATAACGCGATGAAACGAAGCGCGAGCTTTTTTCACGCGGCCTATATCACGCATCGGTCATTTTGCATTTACGGAAGCGTTGACTCGCAGAAAAAAAAAGAGCCACGTTACGCATGGTTGCATTTTGCAATTGCATGTACCTAGTAATCTCTCTCTCTCTCTCTCTCTATCTTTCTCTCTCTTTCACTCTTTCTTTCTAGTATTTAGTTGAGTACATTGAGTAGGTACGTCACGTCACGTGGTTTAATGATTTCATTGATATGCACGGAATCAAAAAGATCAATTGTTTTAATTATTTATTTTGAAATATTCTTCGTTACTATTTTTGTTTTAATTCAATTACTCAATTACTATATTTAAAATATCCAGTAAATTATATGGGAAGGAAAAGAAGAAGAAGAAAATACGGTGAACATTTTGCGCGCAAGAACAAAAAATAATGATACGATAATATCATTTATTATAATATTTAATAAATATTATAATTTATGGTAGAATCTCTCGAGAAAATACTAGGAACTTATCAATATCTAAGAAAATATTCTTTTAATTATATATATAATTAGAAACGATATCAAACATTATTAATTTTAACGATGATTACGAAAGATATTAAAATAGAAGAAAATTCGTGGAACGAATAAATGTTTATCCAGAAATGAAGTAACTTCCTTTCTAATTATATACATCTATATATATATATATATATATATATGTATAATTTGAATTATATTAGATATTATTAGCCTAATGAAAAGTGCAAACGTTCCGTAGGTACTCACCACTGCACAGAAGTAAAATGTGCAGCACTGCTATCCGTGTGCTCCGCGTAATCCTGAATGCACGCTTATCCATATCGAATAAAAATGGAATAATCGTATCTTCTTCGTTTAATAAATCGAAATATAATTAATTTATTCCAATTAAACAGCACTATAATCTTAAGCCCTTTTGGTTCGTTTGTACAACAATCACTGTACAAATTGGTTCCTCCCTTTTTTTCCTTAACTATGGAACAAATTACGAATTATTTGGTCTCACTAAATATATATATTATTCACCTAATATAATATCTTTTATTTTCGTCGAATATATTTTATTCCAATTGCGAATGAATAATAACACCAAATCGTATAATAAACGATTCACCATAGATCCACGATAATAATCACACATAGATCTAAATCTCGCACAAACGTCATCTTATTTAACACACCCCCATAGTCGTCTCGTTATTCCATTTAATTTCTATGAAAAACAAAAAATGTTCACTTGAATTTACACCATCTGGATTGAATGAAGACAAACAAATATTCTCTGATAGTGCAACAACACATTCTCTTTATTCTCCACCTTGTAACATTTTCCTTCTTCTTCTTCTTTACGATCACATTGTCGTGGGTAATGATTTTCAATATCGTAATCCTAAATCAAAATTTACAAAATTCGATTGATCTACATACGATGATGATTAACTTTTACACACACGCGCACGTGTACACCAACAAACGAATACGAATTATTTTTATCGACGATATAAATAACGAAAAAGAAAAACACATACACACATATATATATATATATATATATATATATATATAAATACAAATGTTTTGTTTAAAAAATATAAATAGGTACACGCATATACGTATATATATAGATATATCTATATATATACATATATATAAAATTGATTAATGGTACAATTAAAAAATGAAATTTAAAAAAAAAAATAGAGAGAGGAGACAGGAATACTAAGAAACGTGGGGGTAATAAGATATTAGATAGATGGTTGGAAAAAAGATAGAAAAAGATAGATAAATAGATAGATAGAGATAGATAGAGAAAGAGAGAGAGAGAGAGAGAGAGAAAAAAATTCAAGATAGTTTGAAGCAATGCGCACCAGTCAACGGTCGCACGGCAACTGAACGTGGGGTCGTGGGTTGCCGTTGCAACCCCCCACCGTTTCTCTTTCAAGCGTCCAACCCCCACTACTCTTCTTCTTACACATCAGCAGCATTACTACTACCCACCTACCACCATATGCAATCTCACAAAGACACCCGTTGTTCATACTTAAAACTATACACACATACACATATACATATACATATACATATACATATACATATACGATAAACATATTCGATTGGCTCAATTTTGAAAAAGAAAAATTGTTGATTTTTAGTTTGAACATTGTTTGAATGAACGGTGGGTGGGTGGTTGAGTAAAGGGAAGGAATTATAATATTTACCTATATTTCATTATTACGGCATTATTAAAAATCTACATACATTTTAGAAAAAAATAATATCTAAGTATATTGTGTATATGTGTATGTGTGCAGCCAAAAAAAAAATGTGATATGAGTGAATTTGGCTCAGATCGTAAATCTATTGTTTAAATCCTACGTTTAAATTAAATATGAAATTCCTATATTTAACATTAAAAATTTAAATCCTATTTTAAAATAAATTTACAATTTTTCCTAATTAATCATTTAACATATATTTATCGTATTATTTTTTAATGATACATATATTATAAGATATGTTAAATATAATGAAAAATTAATGATATATAATATATAATAACACACGATTTTATTTTTATATAATAATTTTATATTATTCAAATAATTTTAAAATAGGATTATACAAAATTAATTAATAAATTGTATATTGAAAGAGGAATTTTTGTTAATTTGGTAGCAGTAAAAAGCATTATTCGTGGCGGGGCCCTTATAACAGAACGAAGGGACAACGACGGTTGCAATGATTTTCAATGTTGGCTTTAGCGCATTCTGGTGTAAGGGCAAAGAAGCTTAGGGCCTTCTCTTCCGTACCTTCAAATAAGTAATCGGGGGGAGGGTATCCCACCAGGCAGGTGGTTCAGTCTCCCTCAGGCCTAGCCTAAGGGACAGACCTCCCTTTTATATATATATAAGTTACCGTCAAAGCCGGAAATCAGGCATTACTAGTAATTCCTCGTCATTACTATGAATGTAAAGAGCCTTCAGACGAAGTCGAAAATAAGACTTTTTGGAGAGTTTTCCTAGGCATCGAAAATAATACTTTGATATCCTATAGAATATTAAATGACTATTTAAACAACGTTGAAAAGAATAGATCCACGGGACAGGCACACACAGCACTACGCACCCATTTCAAAGAAATATTAGAGATTGCAATACTGGAAATTGTACAACTTTGCAATTTTTTGGAAAAGTTTTGGTAAATATTTTTTATACTAAAAGTGAATAAATTTTAATGAAACTTATATTAAATTAAAGTACACTCTTTTGTCTACGCGTAGAATACCATATCGAGTTATAAATTTAGCATGTAAAGTTCAGAAAAAGTTTGGGTTAAAAGATGGAAAATGAGATCAAGATGATCTTACTCCGTTTACCATGAATATCCACGTTGGATTGAAGAACTTCGAATTCTAGTCGAAAACGTGACTATTTGTATAAGGATACTTTTGAACGAATGAGGGAAAAAGAAGAAAGAAAGAAAGAAACCATAAAAAAAGAATTTGAAGATTTTTCTTGAAAATAAATCAAAGCGTTTCCCCTTATTCGATATATCGATTGTGTGCGCTTCCAATTGACGGACCGATAAAACGTGACAATTTTCTTTAGTTTATCTTTTTTCTTTTTTCATCCTTTATTTTTTCTCTCGTCATTTCGAATCGGTTAACGAAAACTACGTTTCAGGTATTAGGAAAAAAATCGATCTGTGGATTTTATTATATAATATATATAAAAAAAAGTAGATAGTTGCAGTATTTAATGTTTATTATCGAAACTCGATGACAGGTTATAAGTGTATTAGGTCAGCAGTGTTATCATATACATACATATATGCACATGTTAAAGAGAGAAATCAAAGAGCTTTTCATACGCTTCCTATCGTCGTCTACTTTTATCGTCGTTTATCGATTCCTGTTGCGGAATTCTGTCACAATTCGCTTCTACGAAGTCGACGTTCGGATATGGCGTATTTGCGAAGGGTTGAAACCGAGCTCAAAAGGATTCGCGAGCGTGTAAATCCGCGAGTAACTCTCTCTCTCTCTCTCTCTCTCTCTCTCTCTCTCTCTCTTTCCCTTTGCATTTCGCACTTTGCCGTTTCTATCCCAAATATAGTATAACGTTCTACCTAACATACATACATACATACTGTCACATATGTGTATATGTATGTATACCTTTCTTTGAGTGTACGTTTATATATATATATATATATATATATATATATATATATATGTTTGTGTGTGTAGATTGTGAAGCATAACGCACAAGGCGTCAATGCCGTATACACGAGGCTTCATCCTATTGGCGTACTTTGTCGGTAGTATGCCTATTACATTCCCGTCACAGACGACGGATCTTGTACTCAATCGGCCTATACAAATCATAAACAGTCCCCTATGATTCTACTAATACCGTATTCATATTGCGCATTCAGGCCCTTTTAGTTCTACAGACCGTTCGGAAAATCCTGATGATATGCGACTACGTTTATGTTACCATTTCAAAGCTTATTACATCTTTCTATCTTTCTTTCATTTTTTATTTCTTTCTACCTATCTCCTTTAAAATTCTGCATAGATTTTGTTTTTTTATTTAATTTCTATATACACGAGAGTAAAATATAATATAATTTCTATTGTAATGTGTTAAACAATGCAGTTTTAGTTTCTTTTCTTTCTTTTTTTTTCTTTTTGTATCCAATCGTCACGAATCTTATGAGTTACGTGTATTATCGAAATATTTGACGTTGTTCGATTGAAAATAATTTCGATATTTCGTGTATAGCAAAAGAAATGTTCAGTAAAATTCACGTATTAGTATCACGATGCAGAAATTGAAATATAAGTTATTTTGTAATAGTTATATTTGTAAAATTAGATGACTATTATTTGATTTATTCCATCAATAATCAATCGCTAACAAAGCGATTTTTTGAGACAAACGTCGACGTGATTTAAAAAATTGAAAAGTATTTTGCGTGTGTGTTTTTTTTCCTTATTTTTATCGTTTTGTAATTCGACGGGGTTATAATATATAGATCGATCTTTCGTTGTCGACAAGATGAAAAATTCTAATGGCACATTTAGACCTTATCCTGATCTATGGGAACGTCGTCGTCGTAGTCGTCTCGTACGAAAGAACGAACTAAACTGATGATGGTGTTCTCATTTCTCATTCTTTCTTTTTCTCTCTCGTTCTCTCTCTCTTCTTCTTCGTTCTTTCTTTTTTCATTCAGTGATATTCTACAAAACGACTTTCTTTATCTGGACGACTCGAAAATGCAGTTAAGAAGCAGCTAAACTACGACAAACGTACTCGTGACACGCGAATTTCATTCGTATTAAAGCGAACACCATGCAACAACATTAAATGTACGTTTATTTCAACCCCTTTTCTCTTCTTACTTTCTATTTCATTTTCTTTCTTATTTTTTTCATTACAATTTTTTTACATACTTACTTCGAACAAACTCGTGTTCTATTCATCGTGATGCTTCTTTTCATAGTATCACAAAAACAAAAATTTAAACAATTGTATTAAATTTATTGAAGAAAAGAATACGTCCAGGGAAGTTTAATAATTCACGATTATTATAATATCTAGTGTTTCTCGGGGTTTATTGGAACAACTGAATGAAATATTTCTCATTGGGATCAATTAATTATTAACGATTTCAATCCTGTAATATTTCATTTTATCGCGATCGATATTTATTAATCATAATAATTATTATTATTATTATTTTTTTGTTTTCTCTTTTACTTTTTTTTGTGTTTTTTTTTTGTAATTAACATCAACGTTAATCAGATTATATTATGCGATTAAATTAGATGGGGGCGAATGGAATTTTAACGTTTCTCTCTTGGAAATATCATTTTTCGTTTATATTGTCGTTTAAAGTTTCATTGTAATTATAAGTGACCCGTGAAAATGGTATCTACGGTACAAGTTCATCAATGATTTCAATCCTTTTAATGAATTTACAAGGGTCTACGATATAGTTCATCAACCATTCACAAAGTATCGCAAAAGTGAATAATTCAAATTAATATTTCAAATATTTCGATCGTTGATTAACTTCATTCTAAATTCCTATAAATTGATTAAAGTGTCAGAGAGAGAAATTGTTATTGTTATTATTATTATTATTATTATTATTATTATTATTATTATTATTATTATTATTATTTTATAGATTTATATATTTATATTATTATTCATAAGTATTAATAGTATATTGTGATCAATTATTTCGTAAACTCGTTCGTCCAAAGAAAAAGAAAAAGAAAAAATCATTGACAAAATTTATCGTAGATTCCAATTATGTTTCAATGATTCGTCAAAAAATAATCATTGACAAAATTCACCGTAGACTCATTCGTTCCGTATACGTCAGAATTGATAGGACAAAAAAAAGACCCTCAAAAATTACTCTCGATAGAAATTAACATAAGTATGAAAATAAAT